ATAAATAAGCCGGGGAAATCAGCTAGACAACCACACGAAAAAAAATGTCATCACTTCATTGCTGTCTGCCAATGGTGTGTGTGTGCTTGTGCTGTTCCTGAGCAAGTGGAGTTGAATAAAACATCACTGCATCAGTCCCATTGACAATTCACCTAGCTACCTCTTGTCTGGCCATTTTTTCCCCTGCATCTTCTCCTAGTCTGATTTCAATCCATTTTTCTGTCCTCTCCTCTGAAGCTCAAGTTTGCAGGATTATTATCCCTATCTAGTGCATTGTATTTCTCACAGCTTGATTGTAGAGGGTCTGTGTGGCAATTCTGCTCAGTGTTGTACATTGCTGAAGTCCATGTTTCTTTTTAGTAACCCAATAACTAATCCATTGTTTCTTATAAGCATCTTGATGTGTGGAATTCTGATATAAATGACTTATTTCTCTTTTACAGATATTTATGAACCTTTATGTATTAAATTGTCATCTTCCTCTTTAAATTTTATGGTGTGAAAAGAATTATGCCTTTCTCTTTTACCTTCATTTTAACTTGAGTTACCTTGATGTTGTAGTGGTTATGCTTTGGGCTACCAGCTTAAAGTCAGCAATTCAAAATTACCAGCAGTTCTGTGGGAGAAAGAGGAAGCTTTCGACCCCTGTAAAAAGTTACCGTCTCGAAAATCCATGAGACCAGTGCTACCCTATCCTATAAGGTCACTATGAGTCAGTGACGATTTTAATTTTATAAAGCCTATAAATTTGAAAGGATTTATTTATTTTTTGTCTTACTTGTTTTTCATTAGATTCGTGTTTTTGTATCTATTTTGTCTACTTGATTTCAACTCATCATGACCGTGTAGGCCAGAGGACAAGCACCACTTGAGTTTTCCAAGGCTATAATCCTTATGAAAATAGACTGCCGTATCTTTCTCCTGTGGAGCAGCTGGGAGGTTTAAGTCTCTGACCTTTGTGTTAGCAGTGAATTCTCAATCACTGGCCAACACTCATCAAAATGCCATTGTATACTCAAAGTCATTATAAATTTAAAAGGCAAATAATCATGTTCCTAAAACAATGATTATTTACAGGAGATTTACAGATTGATTAAATCACAAGCTCAGTTTAATGGAGGGATAAACATAAAATGGAAGAAATGTTGATGTCAATTTCTTCTTTAAAGCATACACCTTGGCTAACTTACCATATATACTCAAGTATAAGCCGACCTGACTATCAGCAGAGGCCCCTAATGTTACCCCAAAAATTGCATAAAATATGTGTTGAAAAACCTGGCTTATACACGAGTATATATGGTATGATCAAAATCATGAATAAATCTTCAATTATACAGCATTTCCACTTGTGCTAAATACTTTAATTAGGTATTTCTGTTAGAAAAGTCATTATTAGTTTTTACACTCTAAAAAAATACACTGACAAAGCTGCTATAATAATTGGTGTATTTATTTATAAGTCTCTTTACTAAGTAAATTTATCTGCAATATTTTAATTGAGCATAAATTTTCTTCGGAAAAGTAGAGAAGACAATTTTCTTGAGTATATACTCAGTTTTGTTGAATTATTCACATCAGTCCTACCCCTGAGAACTAGCCTTCACATTTCTAGTACTCTTATATAGCCATTCTTTATTATTATTTAGCCATTCTTTAATCTCTAGCTCAAGCAACCCACCCCCTTTTAAGCTTTTGTGATACTATCTCAACTAATATATTTGCTTGTTCCTATCCTATTTCCATATCATCCAATAATGCCTTATTGCTGTAATTAACAGCTGTCTTTCTTAATGGAATGTGAACTTTTTAATATTAGGATTCCTCAGCCCTGATGAATCCCTATCATGTAGCACAGTACTAGTCATGCCTATTCCAAGCCCACTTGTATCGAAGGAGTAGTTACTGAGTGTGTCAGGAGCTTATTAAAATAGAGACATAATTATAAGACATTTAAATAACTTCAAATTGTATTTAAAATGTTCAGATACAATTTACTTATATTGTGTTCGTATAAAATCTGTACCTGGAACTAGAGGCAGCAGTTTGCACAAATCAAGAGAATACTGCGTGGTTTAAAATCAGGAAAGATGTGCATCAAGGTTGTATATTTCATCATTTTTATTCAATTTTTATGCTGAGCAAATAATTCCAGACACTAGACTCTATAAAGAGGATCTTGATATCAGGGTTAGAGGAAGACTTATCAACAGCCTGTGTTATGTGAATGACCCAACTTTGCTTTTGGAAAGTAAGGAGGATTTGAACTTGCTGATGAGGATCAAGAACTCCACCCTTCTTTATGGAGTACCGCCTTCTACTTCTTTGGTAAAGAAAACCAAAGTCCTCACAACTCAATCAACTGGAAACATCATAATGTGATTGAAGTTGTCAAGCAAGAATTTATTTTGCTTGGATCTATAATCAATGCTCAGGAAAGGAGCAATCAAGAAATCAAATATAGTAAAAAATGCTGTACAAAACCTCTTTAAAGTGTTGAACAGCAAAAATGTCACTCTGAGCCCTGAGTGTACCTCACTCAATAGTATTTTTAATCACTTCATATGCATGTGAAAGTCAAACAGTGAATAAGAAAGACCAAATTGATTCATTTCAATCATGTTGCTGATGAAGACCATTGCCAGTACCATGGACTATCAGAAGAACAAGCAAATCTGGCTCAGGTAAAGTACAACCAGCATTCTCCTTAGAAGGAAGAATGGTGAAACTCTGTCTCATGTACTTGGACATGTGGTCAGCAGAAACCAGTCCCCAGAAAAGGAGTTTATGCTGATAGAATAGATGGTCAGTGGGAAAAGAGCCTCAACGAGATGGAGTTGACCAATAGCCGCACCAGTGGACTCAAACATAACAATTTTGAGAATGCACAGAAGTGGACAGTGTTTTGTTCTTTTGTACGTGTCTTGATATACGTCAGAACCAACTCATTGGCACTGAAGACAACACATTTAATAAAGACAGTGAAAGAACAGTGCTAGCACTAAGCTTCCTGACTTTAGCCCATGCAGTTAATCCTTATTCTGCTTGAGCAACTATAATTTGGTCTGTGTATAGGTTCTGGCTGAGCACAATTATTTGGAGTTTCCAATTTTGGAATACAGTACACACAGTTGAATGCCCTTGCATATTCAACAAAACATAAGTCAATATCTTTCTGATATTCTCCATTTTCAGACAAGGTTCAACTGACATGAACAATGATATAGCTGGTTCAAAGACCTCTTCTGAAACTGGCTTTAATTTATGGAACTTCCATGTTATTATACTCCTGCAGCAGGATTTGAATTATTTTCAACAATATTTAACCTGCATGTGAAATTAAAGATGCTGTTCAATAAGTTAAATATTCTGTTGGGTCATCTTTTTTTGGAATGGTTACAAATAAATAGAGATCTCTTCTGGTTGGTTGATCGGGAAATTGTTTTCCAAATTTCTTGCCATAGCTACCGCACACTGACACTATCTACTTGAATGATATTTTTCCTAAATATGACTTATTTCCATCTGTGCAATACATTCCTTAAGGGCACATAGGTTTAAAACATTTATTCACTTATATAGATTTACAACCTGAAAAGTGGTCTGGCACATAGGAACTATGGATTTGATGAAAGACAAAAGGGTTAAATGAATGAATGGCAAAACGAGAGGAGAGAGACAGAGTAACAGAGAAATATTATCTTACTACCAAATGCTTCTTTAGAAAATTGTGTCTTGCTCAATTTATAATTTTGAACAAGTAATGCATTTAAAAACAAATGAGTTATATGGAAGGTTATTTTATATGAGCCACTACACTCCAAACTGAACTAAGTGCCATCCAGTTGATGTTACTATAGCAACCTGGTAGGACTGGGTAGAATGTCCTCACTGGTCCCCCAGTCTGTAGCTCATCTTTACAGTGTCATCTTTCTTCTGCTCAATGACGGGTGCTTGGAATCGCTCACCATGTGATTAAGAGCCCAATAATAAGCACTATTCCACCAAAGCTCCTATGTGAACCACAGGTACAATAAATTTAAAATAAATCAGAATTGAAAAAAAACGATAACTTAAAAATGTACAAAATAATACCATTGAGCTAGGAGACTTAATAAATATGGATTTTTCAATTATGGAGTCTGGGATTAATATTTTCAGGAAAATAAGTCTCATATTTTGACTATTTGACTAAAATTATTGACATTCGTGGAAATTTGAAGCTCAGTGCTTTGTATTTATTATTGTGTGATGGATATTTTAAGATTATCTTACTTGTGAGATTTGAAACTTGCAGTCAGAATAAATTATGTTTGAATATTAATTGAGAAGTTAAATCTGTTAGGGTTTGATAATTCTTAAGAATTGATGTAAAAAAAAAAGTGATGTCAAATTGAGAGATCTGAGTAAAGCAACAGATAATAATATTACAATTACCATCAACTCAACTTCAGTCTGTAGAAGTGATATGGGTTCCAATTCTAAGGTAAATAGGAAAAAACATTGAACATTTTTTTCCTAAGTTTTTTTTTAAACTTTTTTGTCTTTTAGCAAATTCGCCACTTTGTCCTTATAAGTTTCCCCTAATCAATGATTTATAATTAATGCAAAGCTCTTGCAAACAAATTCAGGAGGCACCCTTTCAATGTTTGTTGAAATTAAATGAGATATGGCCTAAGGCATGTAAGGCATCTAAGATGTATTATTACTTATTTATCCTTACTCATAGTATTTTTAGAGATACATGTCGACTCAGAGTGATTATTTACTACATCTCTGAATGAATGTTAGCTCTGTCTTTTTCTCTCGGTGACAATCATATTAAAATGTCTTCTGAATGCTTGTGAAACTGAACATTTTTATGAGTTTGATTAGTTTTTAGTTAAAATGATGCTTATTTTAACTAATCAAATTTTGAGTAAATCAAATGTCCTTAAATTTATTTTAAGCAAATCAAGTATTTCCTTGCAGATTTTGACCTGTTTCTGTTTTACTTCCAGCAGGAGAAAAGCCAAGAAAGTTCAAGAATCAAAGGTAAGAAATGAATGATTTAAGATTATATTATAGTTAATTAATAGCTTAAAAAATAAAGTTACTTTTCACTAGTTCAAGATAATGATAAATCAGAAGTTTTAAGTGATTTGAATGCCATTGAGGACCCTTTGGGAATTGTTAGGGCTGTGGAAGACTCTTGATCCGTAGATCCCTTCCCTTTATAAAAACCTCCGCAGAATGTTCTGTTTAATCTCTACATTGTTTTGGTGAAATTTCCCCTTTGGGTATTTTCTTTAAAATCGTTATTCTATAACATCTACAGATTGGCGTTACTCATTTCAAAATATGTTTCATAAAGAATCCGCTCTGTAGTCTCTTCCATCTCATATTTTTCTATAGCCAAATCAGATGATGTTTTTTTGCATGTACTAAACTTTGGGGAATGGAGTCTTGGCGGCAAAGTAGTTACATGTTGGCGGCTAAAAGCAAGATGTGCAGTTTTATACCACAAACTGCTCCACAGGGCAAAGCAAAGGCTTTCTACTCCCCTGAAGAGTTACATTGTTGGAAGCCCACCAGGGGAGTTTGACGGTGTTCTGTAGCGTCACTGTGGGTTAGAATCTCCGTGATGTCCGTGAGTTGAGAGAAGATGGAGGTAATTCTCTGTATGGCAGAGCCATAAGACAGAAGAAGGCTGTTTTCCTTAGAGAAGCATGCTTTACGTTTTGAAGTTCCATAATTGAAACAATAAGTTACACTAAATACATGTAATCCTTTAATTAAGATTTCCTGTAACCTGTGCTGATGAGCGCCTTGATAACAAACCTTAACAGTCACTGTCATGAGTCCCCTGAACCTCCTGACCTCTCTTTCATGTGTCGGCCCTTCTCCATTTGGGCCTTTCTGAAGGCAAGTCAACCTCAAGCCTGCTTATTAAATCCAGAACCCTCTTCTTTTTTCTGTCTTCCTTCCTTTTGTGTAGAAAGACATGTTTACTGAGATTTATTTTTCTCAGTGTTGTATGAAAATAAATTTTGAGAATGTTAAGCTCACATGTTTCTCTTGTATTGGTGAAAGAGAACTTAGACTCTCTTGATTCACAATACTAATTTTACTGACTTGGTAAATGTAATCCTCTCTGCAAATGTTCCCACAACTAATTAACTTCTAAATAACCTAAAAATATACCTTTCTGTGTGGTCATTTCTATATGTCAATATCCTGAAAAATATTTAAAATATACCTTTAAAATTTGCTGGATATATTTCATTCAAATGATTTATATAAGACTGTTCTTCCAGGAATTCCTCGCCTATTTGTGTTCATTTCGACAAACTGTGGCTTGTTATTTTATATGTGAAGTTAGTAGACTTATTTATTCTCAAAACACTCATATTAACTCCGCGTTTTATGCTTTTGTACTGTAAAGAGAGTTCGTATACAGAGAATATGCCTATTTTCTCATGAAGGTTCTGGTGTTCAGGTTAATCTTAAATGGTATTTATTATGTTCTTATAGTAGAAGTAAGTGTAGTGTAACATCTTCGTGCTTTATTGCCCTGGGATACATGAATCATATCAACTGAAGTAGTACAAGTTTTATTTTCCTAACTATTGTTTAAGAACATGTATCCCTTTGTAATGCAATAAATTTTAGGGTGATGCTCATATCTTCTTTTAATGTTATTGACACATGGTTTAGGTGTCTTACATGCATCATAGCCACCGAGTTGTAAGTTAATAATGCACATATGCACATAAGAGGCTTCAATATTTATAATCTAAATACATTTCCCCTCTTCATGCTATTCTGTATTTTTATTTATATTTTTTTGGAGTCTCCTTGAAATCATGTCTCATGGAAATGGAAATTATGGATAGTCATTTTTAAGTGTTTTTAAATGTTGATATATTAGGAAAATATATTTGGAAAAGAAAAGCAAATTTCATCCAATGGTAGGTGTCAAAAATTCTGATATTCAAGTATTACACATGTCTTAGCAACTGATCATTGACATGTGAGCTATAGTCTTACTTGATATTAATAATCAAGTGTAAGCTAGTAACTCTCTTGACTTCCTGAATTATTGGCAATCTCATATACCAGAACAGTTTCATAACATTTAACAAAAATGTCTTTAGAGGAAGTCTTTAATCTTCTAATTTCCTGCATTAGGCGCCTATTGCTGCTTCTGATACCAGAGACTTGAAATCACATGAAAGCACAAAGCATTTCAATGAAAATTGAGTCTCCTCCTCTTCATGTTCATAGAGATCCATATCTGTTTTCAAAATTAAAATTCTGTTTCCAATTGAATAATTATTTGACATCACTTATCTTTTTATTCTAATGTAATTAAAATATTATAAGTCAATCCCATTTGAAAGGCATCTTAAAGTACTCATATATATGTATTTAAAGACCGATAAAATTACTTTTGATTGAGCAACTGTCATTCTATTGGTATCTCAAAGGTTTTGGTGTGGTGATTGCTGAGGTAAATAAATAAAGATTCTATATAGTAAACAACTTTGTGGTTTGAGATATGGACTTCTAAGATTTTTCACTGATGAAATAATAATATTTTTTAGGAAAACTTAAATAATCCCTGGTTTACAAAGAATGTGATATCAACTTAGAGTATATAATTTTCCAAGTGTTTAATATATTCACTGTGGTGGAACCAATTATTTTTTTTATATATATAGTAGGCATAGATTTTTTTCTACTTTTTCTTTTGATTGTTATACTTTCTCTAATACAGAGTGTCCACACCCACACACACTGCTCAATACCCTCTAAGAAAAAATATTAAAACTCACTGCCGTTGTGTCAATACTGATTTATAGTCACCTCATAGGACAGATTAGAACTTCCTCTGTGGGTTTTGGAAACTGTATATGCAAAAAGATAAGTACATATTTTCAACTTATGTTTTTCAATACTCTTCTATATGCATGCAAAACACCCAAGGGAATTCTGTTAGTTTCATAGTTCATAAAATAAAATTATGTTTGATCAATAGATATGATTTAAAAGTATAGATATTTCCATCTTTATACACACACACACACCCTATTCTATTTGCCTGTAGAATCTACTTTACTTCCTGCATTATTAATTGGCAATGTAGACTACTAAAATACACATTCAGGAATGTGTACCAAGTAGGTTGTAAGAAGGGTTGCTATGAAATTTAGGTTGCCGAACATATAATGCCAGTGTCTGAACTTTCTTTCTTTTATTTTTCCAGAGTAACTTCACAGTGTTTGTGAGACTGGCTTACCTCTCTCAAGATCTATTAACTAATCTAAAACTGACTGATACCAATGGCCTCTTAGACTCTTACTTTTAAACCCTTTGAAGGCAGTAGATGAGCACATGAAAATATCATATAATACTGCAAAATAGTGACCCATGTATATGTATGTGTGTGTGTGTATAAAACTTTCCCCTAGAAAGCTTCAAAAAAGGTGTGGGTGGTTTCCTTTTTTAAAAAAAATCATTTTATTGGGGGGATCTTACTGCGCTTATCACAATCTATACATACATCTATTGTATCAAGCACCTTTGTATACACATTGCCATCATCATTTTCAAAACATTTTCTTTCTATTTAAGCCCTTGGTATCAGGTCATTTACACCATCACCCCCAACACCCTCCCGCAGAAACCTTTGATAATGCACAGATTTGTTTTTTCATGTGTTACACTCACCACTGTTTCCCTTCACCTACTTTTCTGTTTTTTGTCCCCTTGGGAAGGGATTATTTGTCAATCATTGTGATTGGTTCCCCCTTTCTCCCTCCACCTTCCCCTTCCTCTCCTGGTGTCCTGAGTGGTTTATCTGCCGTGTTTCTCTTTGTTGAGAACTCTTATCTGTACATACTTTGGTCTAGCTGGGTTTGTAAGGTCAAATTGGGGTCATGATAGTGAGGGAGCATTAAAGAACTAGAGGAAAGTTGTGTGTTTTTGTTGGTGTTATACTGCACCCTGACTGATCATCCCTTCCTTGTGATCCTTCTGTGAGAGAATGTCCAATTGTCTATGGATGGGCTTTGTGTCTCCACTCTACCCTCTCCCTCATACATCAATATGATTTTTTTGTCTGGCTCTTTGATGCCTGATACCTGATCCCATTGATACATCACGGTCACACAAGCTGGTGTGCTTCTTCCATGTGGGCTTTGTTGCTTCTCAGGTAGATAGCCACTTGTTTAATGTCAAGCATTTGAGACCCCAGATACTATATCTTTTGATAGCTGAGTACCATCAGTTTTCTTCACCACGTTTGCTTATGCACCGATTTTTCTTCAGTGATTGTGCTAAAGGTGAGCATCGCAGAATGCCGGGATATTAGAACAAATGGTTCTTGTGTTGAGGTAGGGCTTGACTAAAGGCCCAATTTCTGTCTGCTACCTTAAGACTTAACATATAAGTATATGTACATAGATCTATTTCCCTGTTGTTATATATAAATGTATTTACATATGTACGTGCCTGTATTCAGACCTCTATAAATGTTCTTTGCCTCCTAGTTATTTCCTCTATTTCCTCTTGTCCCACTATCATGTTTGGCCTTCATTTGGGTTTTAGTAATTACTTTCGGCTACAATGCACTTGATTAAGCCCCACCAGGCATCCTATGCCCTCCTCACCATCAATTTTAGATCACTTATTGTTCCTTTGTCACTGGGATTGTTGTTAACCCCTTCCTTTCCCCTGCCTCCCCCTTGTATGACTCTCAGCAGCATTCTGGATATTTCTCTGTGGCCAGTCGACCTCTGCCTTTTCTATGGCTGCAGGTATTTTCAGGTCATCTTCTCACACTGCATTTTGTTTCTCCTGTTTTCTTGTTGAGTGTGTTGAGGCAGTTTACGTGTCATTTTGGAAGAAATTGATGCCATTTTCCTCGGAGTCAGAGAGCCCTGGGCCTTCTCTTTGGGAAGATGGTGTGAATGCTTCTGCAGGCTGCCTGTAGCCAACTGCCCTGTGGGGTTGTGTTTCGCCTCTGTCCTACTGGGGTTTCCCTCTCACCT